AGCGCCGCCGGCTCTCGGGACCAGCCCCGGCTGCCGGCAGCTCGCCTGCGCGCAGCCAGCCGCCTTACAGGCACGCTTTCCGCCTCTTGGCGGAATGAGAGGTCTCCGCTCGGGGAAGAGGACAAAATCGCGTACGAAGCAGGAGGTTTGAAACAGGCGAGACCTCAGACCTGCCCGCCCTCCGCTGTAGCAGGCGTGTCAGGAGACACTAGGGAAGAGAAAGAGAGGAGGGGGTGGTTTTGGTTTTTTTTCTCCTGTGTTGTTACATTATTACTTTAGGATTTTGTACATGAAGACATTCTACTACGACACAGTACATATTGCAAGACACTGAATACTATATACGTACACCAATAGCACCAAGTTACTGGATGCAAGCCATAAACTAGTTGCACACAAAAAATCATGAATTCATACTATTTTTTTTAGTATTAGAATGTCCAGTGATAAATAACATCATTACAAGTCTTGTATTCTCATTTTCACATTATACATTTTTTATAGGCACATATGTATACACAGTGGCTATTTCCATAACCAGGTCTATGTTCCAAAACAGCCCTTCTAAATTAAGAGAGATCTGTTTATTGCTGAAGTTGACTTGGGTATTTCTTCAGTGCAGCTGGGGATGCTGTCTGCAGTGCTAAGTCCATTAATTCTCCACAGCTCATCCAAAAAGTCAAGATGAGAGCAATATGAATCCAGCTTTGCTGATGTACTTCAAAAAAATATAGTAGCAATTCAGGTCCATAAGGTCATTCCAAGATCATTTTGGAAAGAAGCTGCTGCAGCAGCTTTACTGTCATTTCAGGAAAGGCTAGGGCAAATGTACACAAGAAGTTCATAATGCGTGAGGATTTTCCAGTTCAAAAAATGAATTTTACTACATGAGAAATGAAGGGGTGAAAATACAGAGCAATTAATCACAAGATAGTATTTAAAACAATCTTTTCAATATACAGAGTACTTATTCCACTTGACATTTTGCTAAGAGGAGAAGCTAAATTACCTTCTGCCAATAACAATGCAGAGAAAATCGCTTTTCTGGTACCTCTCAAACAAGTAAGTTTTGTTTTTACACATTCATGTAATTTCACAGAATTTTTAACTGCCGCCAATAGTGAGCTGAAGTCCACTGATACACTGACACATTTGAGATGATCGTGTGAAATTATGTATAAAAAATTATTTCTGGTATCTGTCCATCTTCTATTGATGTACCATTGTTGTTACCTGGTGAACTATAAAAGACAAAGCATGTTTTGCTAGCAGTAGGAGATTCGTGGATCACTTTCTTCAAACCTTTTGTTCCATAGTGGGAATCAGGACCCTGAAAAACATCAGAAGAGATTAGCAACTGAATGGAAGTTGGCAGCAAGACCCGTAAAATGTTCAAGTTCAAACACTACTGACTTAGGTAGTTTTAGTAGTATAAAATTTCTGTACCCACATCATGTTAAGTTATATACAAAATCACAGACAACGGAAGCAAGTGCCTTATGTCTAAATAACAAAAAGAAGTTTCTCTGATAGCAGACTTAAACCACTTGATTTTAGTCAATTAGTAATGAATAAATATTTTCTAGTATTTCTCTTAGTCATGCAGGTTGTCTATATTCTCACTTAGTTCCCTGCCTCAGCTTCTTTTAATGTGCAACGTTTTTCTTCCAACCCACTTAACTTGGATTTCTGTATAGGAAGTTATATTTAAAAGAATATTAAAGACATTTTTAAGAAAACATTGAATCCATGAATTTTTACAGAACATTAAGGGGAGACTTTCCTAGAACAAATAATTCTTTCCTGTATTTCAACACTAGTATATAAAGAGTGATTAAAAAAAAAGTTTCCATTTTCTTGACTCTAGCTAGTGGTTAGAATATCCTTGATAAAAAGACATCAAACAAATTTTCATGGAGAGCTGCCCGATTTAAATATTCTCAACAGTGCTTTTGCCCACACAGAACCACTGACTTGCATTAGGACTCATTCTAACTCTTACATTGAGCCAGAAAGTGGGAAGGTACAAAGGATCCAGTTATGAATTCTGTGCTGTGGCACAGAAGAGAGGTAGCAGTCTTAAAAGTTACGGTGGAGTTAATTACGGTCTTCTTTAGCACTAAACTTAAAGTAAATTAAGTAAAAATAAAGACCTTAAGTAAAACAAGACCTAGAAGACACTTTCCCATCAGAAGACAGATAAAAAAACAATTCTTGCATCAAAATAACATTTTCTTCTGTACTGTTAGGCATTCTTACTTTCAACGTTGCACAAGCTGTGTAGCAAACCGTTGGCAAAATCTCTATAGGTTCTTTGAACATAACTCTGAAGGTACTGGCTGTTCCATCACAACTAAATCCAGTATCATTTTGTCCTAGTGTTTGATTCTTTTCATAATCAATTATCTGTATAAAAACATTAAAATAGTATTTTTAGGTTTACAAGAAAGATTCTTATTGTATGTGTATTAGAATATTACAAGCAAACACTTGCCTACTCCACCCAATTTAATTGCAAGTATAGTGCAATCTCAGAGCTGGAAAGTAGGTGTAATTTCCTGTTCCCTTTAGGGTTGACCCAGCAGTGTGCCGAATGATGGCTTGCGAGTTCTACACAAACTGTCCAGTCTGTAGGCTAGATTCAACACTGCTCCAACCAGGTTATAGTCTTTGCTTGGGAGATGAAGAATAGCTCTTATAATTTCAGCTTCCGACCTTCATATACTACATATAATCCTGTACTTAGATTTGCTGATCTTCGTACACCCACACAGCCCACATGAGGGAAGCACATTTGCTGGCAGTGGCTAATTTAGAAAACAAGTTTTCACAGATAATGTAAGCAGTCAGTGATACATTCTTAAAGGAAAACAGGAACTTGCGCTGCTATGTTTTATACATTTTATTTCTAGTCTAGATTCAGTATAAAAATTGCACTCAGACTACGTTTTTTTTTTTTTTTTTGCCTTCAATTTTAGCGGTGAATAGGAATCACTAAGATGTAGTAGTAGCAGATACATCACTTCTCATTTTGGGTAGTAATCCTGATCCATGCTGCCGAACACTTCTCGCAGAAGTTGGATTATCAGAGCTTTAGAGTAACATGAACACTTCTCATTATGGCACTAACAAAAATTCTGTAGATTTTAATATTTTATTATTAAATTGCCATATAATTTTTAATATTGCACAAATGAGATGAAGCCCTATTCTAGGGAAAATGTGCTCTAATTTTTTTCCCCAGCTACAATCAATAGGAATATTAATTATAATGCTGAAGTCATAAGCCCCTTTCACACAGAAGATATATTTGCAATATACGTTATCACTAGTTTGACAAGTATTAAATGTTTAACTCTATGAAGCTCTGCTAGTACTGATGCAGGTCCAAGAAGAAAGGTAGAGACACAGGACAAACACCTGTCTGAAAAGATTGTGACAAGAAAGTTTCAGATTCATCAGGAACTGGGAATGCTTCTAGAATAAAGAGAACATGCATACGATGGATGGCCTTCATCTGAACCATAAAAGTACATTAGCCTTTCTTAGTTTGAATCAGGAGCATGTTTTTCAACTGAATCTCTTGATCATTCCCACTTACTATGCTTTGGTTTGCCATGCAAGAACTAAATTCTTTTCAGATTAAATAAATCCAGGAAACATGCTGAGGGAGCACACCAAATCTGCTAACAGGAATTTATCAGAGATGATCAAACGAGTTAATGCAAAGTAAAAATCCCTAAATATGTATAGTCTAGCCACTAGGTCCTCAGTACCAACTCTTCTGCTCTAAAGATCCAACCTAGTGCACGGTGCTACTCACGTACAGAGGTACAGTTTGAGAAAACCAAACTGATGATGGCACTTCAAATCGAGGAATTTGCAAGTGACCTTTTAAACTGAGGAAAGTTTAAATGCATTTTCTTTGGAACATCGTAAGAGGAAGGGCACAACATTTTTTTCTTAAGAGACAGACATAAAATTCCTATCGTTAAGTATAGGTCAGAGAAATGGTCATCATCAAACAGGAAACAGAAGACAAATAAACTGTCATTTAAATGGCATGCCAAGAAATGAACCAAAACAGTTCCAGCACATGTCTAGAAGTCTATGAAATAAGATAGGGACAATGGCATTTCTGTCCCTAAATGAAGTCACAGATTCTTTTCTTTCACAAGATTTCCCACACACCTAGTAAATCAGTGTGATGTGGCAGTACCAGGTTATGAAGTACACAGCAGAGTAAAACTGTGCCAGTCACAGAACACTAGTACCTTTTTAGAAAGCTTAGAATCAAATCAAAACAAATCTCAATAAGAAAGAGAATTCAAAGGGACTGAAATTTCATACTTAAAAAGCAAAAAATATAGTGCTGGATCAATTATTACTAGAAGACAATCCTGACCACGACATGCTAAGAGAAATCAAACCGGCTACAAGAGCAGGAAATAAAATTTTAGTGGTGTCTTCAATTACCCACTCAGACCTGGCGAGTGTCATATCAGGACATGAAGCAGGGGTGACATTTTTAGATGCTATCACTGACCATTTCATGAGCTTGCTAACCGATTGCTCAGTAGGAAGAAACGCAACCCTTGATTTGGTACTGAGTGATGAGCAGGATCAAATTCAAAATTTCACAATGGAAACACTATCCAACAGTGTCCATAATACACTTAGAGTCAACACTCCCACATGAACAACAAAAGCAAATCCACCACAGCTGTGCTAAATTTAAAAAACAGAAAAATGTGGAAGCTTGTTCAAAAGAAGCTAAAAGAAGCAATTAAGAAAATCAAATCCTTATAAGAAGCATGGGGACTACTGAAGGACATCACATACCCAAGTACAGTATCAGTACATATCACCTATTAGGAAAGGTTTGAGAAAAGGTGGAAAAAGCTAGCATGGCTGATCAGTAAAAGGCTATTACTAGTAACAAAGAAACAGAAAAGGGCACCCTATAGATATATGAAGTTGTATTCACATCAAAATAGAAAGGTTCAAATAAAATGTAAAAAGTACAATTAAGCAGGCCAAAAGAAGGTTTAGGAACAGCTTTCTGAAAGCATCAAAACCAGTGTTAAATCATTCTTTCAACACAGCAATAGCAAAAAGCCCTATAGACTCCCTGGTGGGCTGAACAGCATGAAGATATAAAACGAGTAGCAGCAGGATAAGGTTTTCACGTAGAAGCCTGGAGAACAGCAATAGAAATAAATAATTTACCAGTAGAAGAAACCAGAGAGATTCCCATAGTGAGACAATGTTTTCAGCAAACCTAAAATTGAAATAACTTTACAGAAGTTATGATAAAAGTAACATACAACCTTCTGCCAAAGATTGAATCAGTAGCAAATAAGATGTCCATCTTTCAAAAAAGCTCTTGGGAAGGACTAGCCTCTAAGCCTCAATGCGCGTACCAGGCGAGCTAAGAATGTAATAAATACCCAGTCAGGTCAGACAAATGGTGCAATATGCTCCAACAGCGGCAAGAGAAGATGTTGCTGAGCACACAAGTCTGGGCTCTGCTGTCTGCTCCCCCAGCATCCACAACTGTTCTACTTGGGGTGCTACAGTGCACATGCCCCTTCTGCTCCTTCTGGAATGTTCTAATGGATCTGCTATCGATGAATGAACATATTTCAAATACTACCAAATTCAAAACACAGTATCTGCTTCTTGTGGCAGTATGTTCAGTATCCTATGCACTGAAAAATACTCTTACATGTTTTGATCTTCTGCTAGTATCAGTAAGAGCCTCCTAGTTCTAATATTCTGAGATTTGGTGAATAACAAGCAGTTCTGCATGTACCTTCTCTATTGCCCTCATGCTTTTAGGAGCATTGCTCACACCTCCCCATAGCCTTCTCCGCTACAAACTGAAGAGTCCTAGCCTTTTTCGTTTCCCTTCATAAAGCAGCAGCTCTATCCCCTCGATCATTTTAATTACCCTTTTCTCTACCTTTTAATTCCACTGTGTAATATTTGGAACTGCACACAATACTCAAGACGTGGCCATACCTGGCTTTCACACAGCAGCACAATGTCATCTTTTACCTTGTTTTAAGTACCTTCCTGATGACATACTGGGCTTTTTTAGCAGTCACTACATGTTGTGTCACTGATTTCAGAGAGCTGTTGATAACAAATCCAAGATCTCTTTCCTGAATTACTAGAAACTTTATTGAAGGACAGGCTTTCTGTACAACTGAACAGGTCACAAAACTATGAAATTCCTCTGTAGAAAGCTTATGGGAATTCAAGGTTATACCAGACAAGTATCCTGAAGAAAAATTCACCAGGAGCTACTAAATAGAGAAACTAAATTGGTGTCAGGAAACACCTATACTGAAAATGACTGAAGGACAGGAGAATACAGCAGAAAGGGAGAAGAGTTCCATATTGTTCTTACTTTTCCCTATTCATCTGCTTATGACCACTGCTGGGGACAAAACACAGGTTAGATTCCTGGCCTACCAGACTGCTCCTACTCAATTCAAATATACACTAAACTTTTTGCAAGCACAAGTGTAGTTCCTGCATAAGCCTATTTAAACAGAATATACTGTACCTGTATATTAACTTGATAGTCCGTGGGTCCATGAATAGATCCATACAATCCAAATCCCACTATGGAAATTCTTCTATTAACTGTGAACCTGGTAAGACACAAGCCAAGAAAGGAATTTAAACAACTGTGATGGGTATGTTACCTTATTCCCAGTCAAGCAGGAAAAAGACTCCCACTGAAGAATAGGGAAGTAAACTGAAAATGACATTACATGAATTTTTTTTTTTCAATAACACTTTCAATTTATATTTCAATAGTAAGAAAAATGCTTTATAAGGTATCAGCTTTATAGGTTAAAGCTTTGCTAATCCCCCAAGATATTCAGTATCACTAAGCAAAAAAATAACCAGGTTCCTTTGAATATTTCCAAAATAAAAAAAATAGACCAAGACTTGGTATTTTAAAAAGGAATATGCAGCTAACAACCAATCACTCTAGAATGCACCCAACCCTCCTGAACTTTGCTCTTTGCTACTTTATGTGCACAACAGCCCAAGTTATTTTTAAAAAAGGAAAAGACCAAAAGTGCCCAAACAGAACCATCATGTTTGTTATTGCATCTCATGCCACAAAGTCAAAGTTGAGTAATATGTTCCCTTTCTTCCCACACTTCTCTCTCCTTCAAACAGTTTCAAAAGCCATACCTAATCCGATCACTTGTTCCACTGTAGCCCCAGCGACTCTCCACTTGCTGGAACCTGTTAATGCTGCATTCTTTTCCTCTAAGGCAACATCTTGGTCGGTCAATATAGTCTACTTTAGGTTTAGGATTGACAGTAAAATGCAGAAAGAGGTTTACTACTTCCCGATCTGACAAGATTCCAGACTGAGCAGGGCCTGTGAAAAGAAACAACTTCTAGGATGATTCTAAGAGTTACTCCAACTGTTGTATTTAAACCACACATATTCGCAAACTGAAGAGGACAATAATACTTTCCAACAGCCAGAGTGTATTCTGCAGAATGTTCTGCTTTCATTTGTGCATGACAACTTTTATCAATACGATATTAAAAACAGAATAGACTGTTAAGCATCTAAACACTCAGTGAACAGTGCAGAGATATGGTCTAACAGGATGACAAAGAACCCCAAAACTCACCTGCTGCAAACTCTTCAATAGTCATTAATGGAAAACGGATTAAGGAAAGAGCTCTTCCAAGGACTTTTTGTTTGTTTCCAAATGTAACAGGTAGTTGCTGTCTTTGACATTCTGCTTCTGCCCAGCGAACAACAGCTCCAAAGAGTCTACTTTCTCGAATACTAAGGGTATCTCTTTCTAGAACTGCACATAATGTGTCTAAAGAATAAAAGTTAAAAGATTTAGATCAGTTTTCATCCAAAAGAGTAGCAGTGCTTTCACCTTAAGTAAGCTTAAAATACTAAACAAGTAAACACTAAGAACATTCATAATAAAACATCAAAGATAAGACAGCTTATCTTATGTATAAAGAAATCTCGCAATGGCGTATAGACTCAAAAAAAAAAATCCCATTATGAAGACAGCATAGGAACTTTCTTCTTGATTCCTGAGAGTGTGACTATATATAATCTACGCAGTGACAACCAATATCTTAAAGAATTTCCATGGCTAGGGCAAGATCAAAACTGGAAACAACCGAGCAGTGAATGCACACTACTAAAAAACCAAGTTATTCACAATGACATTGTCATATTCTCATCCAAGTAGCCACCTGCCAATCTGGATCAACTATAGATACAAGCAGCACTGCTGCACACAAAACCAGTTTAAAGATACATGAAAGTGATTGTAAACATTGACGTATTTGCCACCCACAAAGCTTGAAGGTGGAACACAGGATGTGAGGCAAGGTACTCTTCACATGTTTTACAAAAGCAAGTTTTCCCGCATTTCTTACTCGTTCTGGCATTTTATGAGTAACAGGTCTGCAAAAATCCTCAGTTTATCCTACAACACAAACTTGGAAAAAATGTGTTTTCATATTCTGAATCTTCTGTCTTCTTTTGGAATTTTTATATGCCTTGAATTTAAGCAAGGCACGTTTGCCGTCATGGAAAATATCATATTGTCAAGTCAAAACAGATTGGGACTTATTAAGAGTAGAGATGAACACTCACAGTCTAGGTACAAATCTCACTGAACATGAATTAACAATGACATTACAATTTCTTTAAGCAGCTGGAATACTTTCCTTCAGCCTGAGTTTTTCACACAGTCTAGCTGAACTGGAATAAAATCTTAGGTGCATATAGTAACAATGAAAGTAACTAACCAAATTTGTAACTGCTAGCTTTTCATAAAAGATGAAACATAGAAACCAGCAGTTTAGATATTTTATTTTTTTAAACAGATTTCATGAAGTGTACCTGATCTGTGCAACTCTGAATAGCGAGGTACCATGTGGCAACAAAACAGTATGATTCCTGTTATGTGCAAAAAGCAGTTGTGGATCCCTCAGGGAGAAGGCACAACACTCAGCAAGTGAAAGCTTTGGCTTTAATGAAAGCGTAGTGTTACCAGGGTGGGAGCCCCAGGACACCGACACTCATCAAATGAGGACCCAACATAGTGGAACGCTGCTCAGGAGTGAAGCTCAAAGGAAAGCACTGCAGGGGTGGATAGTAAAACTTCTGCTGATTAACATACATATGCAATGTCCTGTTTTGCTCATTGGCAAACTTGCTGTTGCTGTTGTCCGAGTTCTGAGATCTGCAGCTGGCCATCGTGTTGGTGCCCATGCAAAGGTGGGTGCAGATGAGGGGGGAAGCGAGCTACCCCAGTTTACTGTGACAAGGAGGTAAGATGTGCTTGGGACTCCACGTATTCAGAGGCAGGAGGTGAACTATCTTGGATTACCATTAACAAAGCCATCCCAAGCCCTACAATTCCCTTCAGAAGTTTAATGCTTAGGAAACACAAAGTAACTTACCTATATCAATATCAGTAAAGCCTTCTGCACTTATTGCATCCATAGTACTTTTGTCTATTGTGTCAAGACAAAGACTAGCAAGCTGAGGTTCATCAAACAAACGAGCCTAAAAAGGTAAAGAAGTAAATCTTAAGCATAAAGCTGACAAACCACTCATCTTAAAAAGCACGTATTTTTACTCTAGTATAGATGTAAATTAAAATAGACTGGTTTCTAAGTACTCCTTGTGTTTATACCTTAAAGAGCACTTACATTCTCAAAGGAGTACATAATTAAGGAGAACTCACTACATGTAAGTTTTCCTTCATGCTTACATTTGTCACTTTGGCAATATAACTAAAAAAGTGCACATCAAATCCACTATAGTGACCTGAAGCAGAGTCTTAGCAAAAACAATTAAGAGATTCATGCAAATACACTGTAGAATAGATTGTCTCAATTTAAAATGTACCAGTCCACTGTATATTAAAGAGGAAAAAAAAGCAAAAAGAAAAGGCAAAAAGAAAACATGAAAAAAAAAAGGAAGAAAAAAGAAAAAAGGAGAGAAAAAAGGAAAAAAGAAAATAGAAAAGGAAAAAAGTGCCTTTCCTCCACACTAAGAAGCTGAGGCTATAAATATGCTAACTGAGCAACAAGACATTTTCATACGTAAATTAGACTATGTGATAGCAAACCCCTGTGAAGTAATATTTAGCCATTTCCCTCCAAACACCGATTTTCCTAGTAAATGAAAACTAAGCTTAAGTTTACCTACTTGAGTAAGCAGCATAAAGGCATTATCTGCTCGGAGGTGCTTCGTTAGAAAATCCACACAATGTGCTTCCAGGGCTGGGACTGCATACTTTTTAGCAGTGTATAATGTAGTCATGACTGTTTCTGGACCGATTTGAACTTCATCTGAATAAAGAAACCTAGAAATCAATACACAAATACAGATCATAAAAACTCATCTTGAGGGGGACAGTCAAGCACAACATCACTGTCTCTCTGCGTTTAGAAAGCAAGTCAAGGATTTGCACTGTGAACAGGCAACAGTTAATCATGTAGCATTTTTACAAATTAATAAGCTAGTTAAACGGTTGAAGAAAGAATATTACGTTAACCTAATGGCATACATTTGTTTTAAATATGTATTACTCCCTAAGACTTGATCTGGCTGTACTAGTTATACATAGCTACCAAACTGTAAACAACAGCTGAGCTGCAGAATCACTTAACATATGAATGCATGCTCTTTTGATTCACTAGGAAGAGCTGTATTTCTAAATTACCAATACATAACTCTCTATGGCTACATTACTGAACTTAATTTACTGACAGTGTACAGTAGCTTCCCTGCCCTGATGAGAACAGTGTCAAGGACTTACGCTGTGATAACATCTTATGTCAAAGTTACCATTCTGTAGTGTTCAGAGGAGAGGAAAGGGAGTAATATTCTAGCAGATGACCTTGACTCTTCTATTGCTGCCATAGCAAACACTCTGGCTTGTCTCCACTGTTTGAGGCTAGATGATTGGTTGAGGTTTTAGCATAAGCCATGAACCAAAAGATAGAAGTCTCCAAAACCAGGAAGAAACCCTGCTTCCTGAGCAGCTGTTATTCAAGACCAGACAAGATAAGATTTATTTTAAGGTTCTGCATGGAAAAAGAGACTTTTTAAAAATAACTTTTCTTACAGGTGACATTGAAAATAATCTTAGCAATATCTCATCAGTTTTTCAGATAATCATCAAAAATAGCCTGTGACTTACAAAAACAAATTTGTGGTACACAAATAACCACCTCACTCTCCTCTGCCCCAGCAAAGGTGATTAAACATAATAAACAAGGGCACACGAGCAAATGCAGGAATGAAGACCACCACAATGAAGACCAAGCCTTTGCTTTATATTTCTTAATATTTTTTGTTCAGAACCTCCTGCAAATGAATGGCAAGTAACAAGCAGAGATAGAAGGCATGTTTAGAAGGAGTTTTAATGTAACAAAAACTGGTTTGTATTTAACAGAAGAAACCTGTGAAAGTAACGGACTCAAACTTGTATGCAACATAGGGGGATCTAAGTAATAGAAACACAGAATTAAAGTTTCAACTAAAGTTCTTCACTGTTTATATTTCTTATATTCCAAGAAAACTCTAATTCTCAGTAATTGCTAACACACAACTAAATATGGTCTACAACATTGAATTTGCTGCCACTTACCAACAGGTACATATTTACCATTACAAAAATCCAATCCATTCAAATGGCTAGCTTTCATATCAATTAGGAAATGTGAACAATGCTCTAGATTAATTCTTTAAACTTGATTTACATCAAACAGCTTTTAGAAAGAATGAGTTTAATTAAATGCTAATATTTTTGATAGTAAAAGTTTCATACAGTTCATTTAGAACTGATTTATGAAAGCAATGAACTATTACCTGTTGATGAAAATGATGGGCTGACTCATGACAAGAAGTGTCCAAATGCACTAAGAAAGTCACATTGTCAGGTTTTTTGTGTGTATTTCAAGTTTTTGACAATGCCAACAATTTTATGGGATTTTCAAAGCCAAACAGTAGTCTTTTGCAAATACTAAAAAGTATGAATTTACAAACTTAAAAGGTAGCTGTAGAAACTACAAAAAAATAGTAATACAGTACATTGTTCTAGGATTTTGTATAATCCTATTTCCCTTAAGTATACGGATGGATGATCATGATGCATTCATCTACTCATAAAAGAGGAACTCTAAGGTGTGTCTTCTCTCTAAAAATCCCTTTGCTCATGTGCCAAGAGCTCTGCCTCTGTGTTAACTCTTCCATTTGTGGCACGCCTGAACTAACACACCTCCTTTATGTTTATACCACTGTTCCTCCTCTATTTAACTCAGAGGGGCTCAAGATCACTTACCCTTTCCCCTTTGCCTTCTTCCCTTCTCTCCTCCCCTTCAAAAGACTTACAGCAATAGCCTACTCTTTAGATATTGACTGATTTTATTGTCTTCCAGGATGGTGTGTGTGTGCATAGTGGAAGAACACTTCTAGTGACTAGAACAAACAATTTTTCCAAGTGACTGCTTGATCATTCACTTTACATAAGCCTCTCATACATTTGATGCCACTTCACTCTCAGGTTAGCACTTCTTTCTCCCCTAGTCTTAGCATCTTCTCAATAGCTGAGATATGGCCACCATTTTAAAAGCGCACAGGAATCTTCTTCCAGTTAGTCATCATTACCTCTCTATTACTGCTTGCCAAAGTTGTCTGCAAAGACATTTGGAAGATGGACTGCTAAATTTGCGCCATGTTGTCACTTTCCTTTATGCTATGATCAAAGGACAAGTTGAATTACTGTGAAATGCGAATAAAATTTTTTAAAAAGTCTTACTAAAAACAACAAAATGAATCCCTAAAGCAGAATCCTACTGAGACAACTTTAATTTTCTTGATCACTGCTATTCAATTTGTACATTTAGAAATACACGAAAGAAAAGCTGTTTAATTGGGAAGCAGATTCAAATTTTGTGACTATGACATTATTTCAGCTCTTAAGGATTTATCTGCCAAACTACTTAAGTAGTCATCCACTTATAAAAAAACTCCTCTGGCTCATGTTTGAAAACTCTTCAGGCAAGAGGAATACTGAATGATAAGCCAAAACACACACCTAAGCCTTTGAGCTCAGCCAATTGTTTTCTAAGAAAGTTCTCTCCCTTTTCCGTCAATTTTAAAAGGCTCCCCTTTTCCCATCTTCACAGTTAAGATTTTAGCCCACAGACAAGGAGGGCTATCGAACTTTCTCTAAGGGAAAAAAGAAACTCTAAAATGTATTACTGGAATTACAGTGGTACTATCAATTAAAGTTTTGGTTCATTATTTTTAAATACTTTAACTCTACAGATTTATTATTTTAGAGGCCCCTATCAGAAAAAGGTAGCAACAGTAGGCAATTTTAAATTGTGTACAAATATATCCAAAAGAAAAAGGCATCGCATTAACTTGGGTGACTACTAGATGTTTAAATTGTTCAAGTTCTAACTACTTTTTTTCTTCCCCATAAACATAATTCTTGAAATACCATCTATTTTGTGACAAAACACTAACACTTATGGAAATTTACATCATAGAACAGGGAAATGACACTCAGTCTCACTGGACAGATACAGATGGGATTAATTTTTCAAGAGAATAGGAAAAATGTTCATTAAAAAATCTTTTCCTTTTGTTTTAATGTACAAGTAGCATTTGTCAGTAGATCTTTACGAAACATACCAACTACACATAGGACCTAACAAACCACATGAGTAAATAAAATGGAAACTAGCTGTGGAACATTAAACAATTAGTAAATTATCCATATAAGTTTTTGTATCACTTCAACGTTTCATTTACCTTGACGTTCATTTGCTATGTGTATTCAAGATTCCAACCTAATTTCTAGCCCATACACCTCAAATTGGTCTTTGCAAAGATTAAAGAAAGGTACTGTAAAAGGCAAACATCATTATCTCACCAATTTACTAATGACAGATAAAAGAGGCCAACAGTGCAAGGTGTAATTCTTGTCTCCTGGCCAACACCAGGAAAAAAAACAGGTTGTCTTAATAGTTGGTATACTTTAAAAACAGTATGCAGCATGGAAGAAGTCCAATATTGCTCTGTACCAACGAAGTCCTCCTTAGGTATGTTTTTAAGATTGTTGCATTTTATATTTATTCCACTATAAGCTCAAAAAATAAATATAATATGGAAGAATGTCCTAAAAAGCTGCCACGTATTTCATACCAAAGAAGACATCAAACCTGAGATGTTTCAACAGTTCATCAATCTAGTGATATTTAGACAAGCTACAAGTATAATAAATTTATTTACATAAGTCCCCTGGCCATTACGTACTAGCAGCTCTACCAACACAAGATGGCTTTTATTTGCTTCCAACAACATCTCTTCATTCACTTACATAGTTTTCAAATACTACCCTTCTTACCTTCACTTAGAACTCTCCTGTTTCCATGTTTATATTTTTATCTAGACAAACTTCTCTCATTATATCCAGTTCTCACTGTCCAGTGTTTTTTCCACATATATACAGACCAACATGTACATGTGCATATTCATTTACTTCTAACCTTTGAAACCATTTTGCTTGAAAGATACTTCCCATTACCTCCCACTCTGCTACAAAAACTGTTCACCTTGCCACTCCCTCTTTGCTAAGAATCCACACAATACTGTTCATTTGCTAACAGCAGGAAGACATTGCTGCTGCTGCATGGTGGTTTGGTTGTTTTGGGTTTTTTCCTCCTAAATCAGTTACAGCAACTCCTGTGTCCATGATTACCAAAAGGACTAGGTGACTTCTCACTGTTCCTCTCTGTTAGGCCTCAAAACAAAGAGAAAGCTGCTCAGACTTTGGAGTTTTTCCCCTTACAGAAAGCTTTGAGACACTACATAGTTATTTCCAGGCAATAATATTACATGTTTCCCAAATGTCTATTACAGAAATCTGTTTCGTATATTTTATAGAGGTTTTGCCTAGTAGAGGAGTTTCTTTGAGGAAAACGTTAAGATTAAGCAGTTTAGTCATATTACAACACCACAGCCTGATGCACAAAGAAACTATTAGTAATTGTTTCTATGAACATCATAAAATTTATTTACCACTACACTGAATAAAAAGAAAAGGTAAATAAACTCATCAGTTTTGTGAGCATGAGAAGTAGCAGATCCTATTCAGCCCAAATTTAGAATGCGCTAACACATTTATATACTTTTTGCCATCACTGCACTCATGGTTTCACTTGGGTGGTTTGTGTGTAAAAACCAGTTACTGCCTTCTGCTGCATGTTCACTCTCCACCCAAAAGTATCTGAAATAAGTGTAAGTACAATGGGTATAACTCTGGTAGAAAGATACAACTATTACCACCG